TTATAAACCATATAGTTTTGACCCACTACCATATATTTCGTAAATGATATATTACCTTGAATCTTTGATATATCAAAATACTTGTGCTCCTATAATTCGGTCAAAAATCCTATATCAATAAAAATATTCGACGACTATCATATCAATTATATTAAAATTTATATCACATTATATATCGAAAATAATTTAAATATATTAAGACCTATATTTATAAAATATCGTATTTTCGATATACTAACAATATCGATATATTTTTTTATCGTGCATATCTTTATCATTTATATTAATATTTATAATATGTCCCAACCCGAAATTAATCGACATAATCGATATTTTCTACGATATACCATTTTTCGTAGTTATCACGGAATATCCTAGCCCGACATATCGAAACCTTCGATATAACCAATATTTTCCACGTATACCATCTATATTTTTTCAGTGCATCTTGATTATACTTACACGAACGAAAACCACTAATTTTTATAACACATCCTAGACCTTGACCATGGAAAGACATATTCGAGCAACTAGTAATTATCAGAGGGAGAGAAACCCATTACACAATCTACGTGCGGTCCAGCATTTACTACAATCGTAGGAGAAATGAAAGAATCGTTTACGCTCGCCGACTCTAAAAGACTCCGTGCAATGCGGCGCGCGTTTTAGACCCTCCCTCCCTAAAAAACTATGCACGCCACTGCACGCTGACTCCAGAGGGCTCCAACACAACCCACGCCACACACCCGGCGACACAGAGGTTACAACATACAGCACAGTATACAGCACACCACACACACAACACCACGCACACTGATCTAGAGCTCATCCATTCGTTTATCACCATCCATAGACGTACTCATTTAGAGTTATCCGGTCCTTTAATTTCCAAATCTATGTACCTTATTGTCCTACAGTATTGTATTATGTCACAACATCTGATGGAAAATTGTCGTATTCAATTTATGCATGGCTAATACCATTCAAATTCTAATCAAACAAGAATCCAAATCAATTATCTAGCAGAATACCTACTATCTTCTATATAGCTCTGCAACAGAAGCAGAAAACAACCTACTCGGGTGAAATCGGTAGCTTTTGCGGCTCAGGCTGTGCTAAGGCATGCCAACGGTTACAAGGCTTCATATGCATCACCTTCTGCAACCTTTCCTGGGTATTTCGTCGAGTAAAACTTGGGACACTCCTTGTATGTTTGAAGCAAATCAAACTTCTTTGTGCTTGGAAGCCTGCACCCTCAACTACATGTCCCGAAAACGGCCTACAAGGCATCATGTTCTGTTTGGGAAGCCGGTTGGAGAGACCTAGCCTCACAATACCAATGCTAGAAAACAGCCAGCTCTGTCCACCAGGTGCAGTAATCTCACCGCCAAGCGAGGCCAGGGGCAGGAACTCAAGGTCAGGTACCGTGTGAAATCTCGAACCAAGTTCAATTCTTGGGCTTGTTGCGAAATCCTACCAACTGGGCACCCTGACCATGCCGTAGTTTATGCAGACTCTTTCCAACGAAGCAACCACTTCTTGATCACGCAAAGTCAGATTTAAGCTTGAATTCAAAGGTTGCTAGCATCATGTCTGCCACATGCTGAAGCGCCTTACGTTGAGCGACACGAGGACATGTGAATGACCAGCAGAGAATGATTCCTGAAAGTGCGTTGCGAGCTCTCTGTCCTTTTCGGCCGCGCGCCTCAAGGTCAACTGTCTCCTGCATAGAGCCTGAGTGCTGGAAACAGTTTGGAGACTAGCGCTGGACAGAACAAGTGACGAGCTGTACAAAAGGTATTTAAATCGTGCTTTTCAATCACCGAAGGTCCCGGCAACAACTCGAAATTGATATATTCAGTGAGAAGAAGAAAGTGTGGGCCTTGCTTGTAGCACAAGGAGCTTCTGCTCGGCATGTCATGGTGATGCGAGGAAATGCGATTGATTTCAGTGACATGAGGTACGAGTACGTTTGAGGGTGTGGCGAGTTGGAAATGAAGAACCTTCCCGGTCGCAGGGTAGTGCAAAGTTCTGTGCATGTTTTTCTGTTTGATTTGGTGCATCACATGTCAGCCTGCGTGTTTTGCCAATTAACTCTGACAAGAAACAGTGCACATGCCAGACTCATTTATTTCGAACTCGGCCAGTGCTTGCTTAGCACTTTCCAACCGTGCGAAGTTTGTGCGATGGCCATGGCAAGACCCCAAATACCCAATTTTTTTTTTTGTTCGCTGCAGCTGTGCTGCAAAGCGGGCGGAAAAAGATACTTGCTGCAAAGCGGGCTACGGCCCCCGGCATGCTCTCAAGACCAAAGTGCCCATCAGCAAAGGCAGGCGGCTGTGTGTTTATGAAGCCGGTACAAACGGAACTGAAGATGCGCAAAGCTCTCGCATGGCTCTCAGCGCATTCGGGAAGCAATTTGGGTCAAAACGCAAGACACCGAGATCAAACGTCTTGTTCGCATGAGCACCCTCGAAACCACAGCAGTTAAAGCAGAAATGCAATGCTCGGCCATCCGGCAAGGCATCGATTCTCGTGATGATGGAGAATCGAGATGATGGATACTATCCTGATTTTGTTCACTACTGAAGATAATCAGAAAGTTCGTGCGAGCAACGGGTGTTCGCATGAAGTTTCAACAAGCTCGCTGGGTTAAGCTTCTCCGAAAAAGGACCCGGCCGAAGTGGATGGTGCCAACATGAAACGATCTTTTAGGTGCTTGGTCTTGAGGAGTTGGTGCATGTGGTGCTTACTAGTTGAGGGCAACTACTTGGATTTCATGTTGCGGCATGCAAGATCATGCAAGTAAATGATTCTGCCCGGCCACTCCTCCGGCTTGGGCTGCACTCCCTGCATCACGCTTGGGAACGAAGGCTAAAGATGGCTTAAGACGTTCGAGCTGCGTGCTGGGCTTACTACTGAGAGGCAAAGACAGAGCCGTACATGCACACAGTTCTGCAAAGCCCTATCGCTTCCCGATGCTTCGCGACCACTTGCTAACACTTCGTCATTCCACCAGAAGGGAATCAAGGCTGATGCATGATGAGGGCGAGCGACAGTGGAATCCACTCCCTTTTGCTGGTGTGCAGGCCTTGCACTCCAATGCCAAGTCCCACAAGCATGGGCTCCCACCCTCCCAGGGCTCGACGATGTGCAGCGCTCCATCGACCATCCTTAGGGCACGCGATCAATGGAGTTTGGAAGATTGGACTTGCACCGTCACCAGCAAGCAACAACCAAGGAAATCCCAGCGCCGTGGGCTGCAAGAAACAAGCTGTGCAACCCGAACCATTCGACAGGTGTCCCTGCGTCGTGGACATCTGGAGAATCTTCTGGATCTTTCAGGACAGGTCCTGGGGAGGAAAATCGAGACTTCTGCATTCCGCACCTTCCCCCACCTACCCACCCCCCCGACCCGCAGGAATAGCAGCATTCAAGGACAGGACAACAGACTAACAGCCTCAAAACAGCACTACTACTACTACTAGTCTTAAAACCACTAGTATTACTATTATTATTATTGTTGTTGGCATTTTTATTATTATGACTAGTGCTACTACTAGTACCACGGCTACTAGTACTACTAGCACTACTGCTGCTGCTGCTGCTGCTGCGGCTGCTGCTTCTACTTCTACTTCTACTCCTGCTACTACTACTACTACTACCACTACTTCTACTGCTACTACTACTACTACTACTGCTACCACTACTACTACTACTACTACTACCATTACTTCTACTGCTGCTACTACTACTACTACTACTACTACTACTACTACTTCTACACTGCTACTACTACTACTACTACTACTGCAACCACTACTACCACTACCACTACCACTACCACTACCACTGCCACTACCACTACCATCACTACCACTACCACTACTACTCCTACTACTACTACTACTGCTACTGCTACTGCTACTGCTACTTAGTTGGATGAAGCTGGCCAATGGCCCTTCAGAGCCCAACAGAGGCTCCTGTAATCATGAAATCGTGATTACACTCAGCTCACTAGGCGAAATCGGTACCTTCGCTGCGTGAGGAATGAATGCTACTGCTACTGCTACTGCTACTGCTGCTGCTACTACTACTACTACTGCTACTACTACTACTACTACTACTACTACTACTAGTAAACTAGTACTACTACTACTACTGCTACTACTACTACTACTACTGCTACTACTAGTACTACTACTACTACTACTACTACTACTACTACTACTACTACTCCTCTACTACTACTACTACTACTGCTACTACTACTACTACTACTACTACTACTACTACTACTACTACTCTACTCCTACTCCCACTACTACGACAAGTATTACTACAACCGGGAGGGAAGGGGGGGGCGGGTGGGTGGGTGGGCAACGTGTCCATGTTGCTGGAGGGGGCGGGGGGTGGCCTCCCCCCACGCCCTGGCACACTACGGGGGTGGGGTGGGGGGGGGGGGGTGGTGATCCTCCCCCCCGGGTTTGCAGACGACCACGCGGTGCCGAACTATCTCTTCTTGGCTAACAGCTGTATTGGATGCGTCAATCTTTTCAAACCACCAGGTTCCTGTGTTGAATTCGAGCAAGTACACGTCCTCACTGGCAGTGACAATGTAGTCAGCGCTGATGATTTCAAACCTTGCCATTCCCGACGGATACTGACTTGGTTCAAGTTTGCCGGAACCAGAGCAGCCCCTCTGTGTTAAGCAAGGCGCTGGATCTTGTTGCGACCTTCTAATTTGCCCTGCTCTGCGGCACGCTTCACCACAGCAGCCACTCCAGCCTCGAATATCCCGAGGCCGCATTCAAAAAGAACCTCGTGCGGTCCTACAAGAGGCTGCCTGGCATTTCGGGTACACCTTGTCCCAGTATGGCCAGTCGTTGATGCGCTTGGTGCGAATGATGGTTACTTGGCATTCCTTAGACCTCAGGATGGTCTGCACTTAACTAGACCGACAAAGATCAATACGATGGTCCTAAGCTGCCGGCAAGTCAGTCGGGGACCACGGCTTCGGAGAAATACTAAGATAGCCATCCTTGTACGTGTAGAGGCGCCACGTCACCCCGTCATCCATACCCACGAGCAAGTTGTAAAACCTTAGATGCCCAAGCCGTTCATCTAAGCCAAAGGCACTGTCCACTGTCGGCTTTGCATCGTTCATGCCCGGACGCTTGATGTGACATTTCTCGCCGTTGTAGTACAACAGAGGATCCGGAATGTGCTTTTGAACCACATAGGTTGCATCGTCTTTGGCTTTCTGCAAGCACTCTTCTGCAGAGGCGCAGCACACTACGCCTGCGTGAACGAGCAAAGAGCTGTATTGGGCTGTCTAGAGGTATGTATATGCTTGCGCAAAAACACGCGCCGACAAAATCATCGTCGAGGAACTAGTGCCCCAGTTTCTGTCTGTCTCCTTCAGAAACCATGGCCACGGAGGAGCATCTGCTGCAGGTGTCGATGGGACTTCTCCAACCCATTGCCTTGCCGACAGCGCACATCGCACTGCAGCCACATGGAACGTTCGTCAGCACAAAAGAACTTGCCGTCAAGGATCGGCTTGTACTCCGAAGTACATCTCGAGGGAAGCACTGTGTGACATGTTCGAGCGCTCTCATCATCTCATGACCATTGATCATCATTGTCGATACTCTGTATTGTATGTGCAAGACGACTGGTGTGCAAAGCGCACATAACACGAAGTCGCGAGCGAGAATGAATTTTTGCTGATCCGTTGTTTCGGAACGTTCCTTCGAATACCGAGCAACTGTCCCTCACCAGAACAAAAGGAGAAAGAGACTGACTTTCCCTGTCACGAGAGTTGAGGCAACAATCTTCAATCTTCCTTGCGAGATGCTACAAGCACCTTGAACAAGTGGATGCGAAGGCTTGACTTCTGCCGTTCATCGTGAGACTCTCGCCGGCGCAAGGAGAACAAGATTGTCACACGCTACGTGTTGGTGGGAACATTGTGAATCGGAAAAAGCGACGCGTCTGAGAATGTAGTGCAACGCCGCCGAAAAATTGATTCCTAATCCAGGTATTCTCGCTGGCTTGAGCCACCCAAATGTCGGTTTGTTCCGAGAAGCCGACACGGGCTTGCAACATGCAACAGAGCAGCAGAAAGCAGTGCCAAAAAACACTTTCAAGTCTACTATCGTGCGTAGAGTGCATGTGAAATGCCACCCTTGTATCAGTTGTCCCAGCCTGTTTTGGATCACATACGTATAGGGCATCAGGTCTGGAACAAACTCGTACAGCTTTCGCTTGTCTTCCAGCCAGATTCGACCTTTGATGTGCATGGCAATACGGCTGAAATAGGTCTCATCCGTGAAGTCCACGGCTTTCTTCCCCAAAGGGCAATGGCTGACCTGTCCATTTCGATCTTCGAACCATTTTTCGCTGGGGTATATTCTCCAGTTCGGCCTCTTTAGCAGATATCTGCAGAAACGCTGTCCGTGACCGCCCACGCGGCAGTCAGAGCCTTAGTTGCCGAAAGATGGCAAAGTAAAGGCAAGTAGGCAAGCCTAGGGGTCACACTATCAACAACATCTGCTGACCTTTCCACGCAGCAATAGAAAAGCTTCCTGCAGGTATCAAGTGGGCTGTCAGACTCCGTCTGTTCCTGCTTCTTTGAACATGAACGCTTTGTGCAGCTCCTGTTGCTTCCCACTTCCGCTCGGCCAGTCCCGTAAGGACCCGCCAGAGGTGGGCCGCCGTCGTTGATCACGTCTTCGATGGCCTCCCGTAGCGAGATCATCTCCTCAGCCGGCGTGCTCAGCAAGGCGTACCAGGGTCGCAATGCACTAGCAGGACGGAGTGCCACTGCATGAGAAGAACACAGTTTTCCGAGCTGCAGCGTTGCTTTTCTTGATTTCCTGTCGGTATTTTCATGCAACTACTACACAAGCCCATGCGCATTCTCCAAAAGTCTAGCTGCTAGCAACTAGCTTTCCACAGGACCCTGCATTCAAGTCCAAACATCCAGAAGTTGCCGGTCCTCTTCCATTGCTTGCGTTTTCCTTAGAATCACAGACACGGTCAACATGCTTCTGTATTTCCGCTGTCCTTCATCCTCAGTTCCTCAAGAATGACCTGGTGCGCCGCTCCAAGAGCCGAAGATGTAAGATTCCAGCGCAGAATGGGACATGAGGCTTCCGGACCTCGGACCTCGAAGACTTCAATTTGGCTAGTTTTGGGTGTGAGTGGAAAGAGATTTGTTTTGTTGCAAACTGATGATTTGCAGGGGTGTTTGAGCTGTGGGTTTCCGGGCATGCAAACCTGATTTTGGCGACCAGTTTCTTCTCTGCAGTTGGAGCCCTTAGGGCTCTTTCGCGAGGTCGCTTATTTCTCTTGCACCTAATCTCGTGCTGCTGTCTGAGACAGCCACTAAGCTAGGGCTCGCCAATCACATTTTTGCATGGCTTTTTGGGCTTGAACCCCAAACTCCGTTCAACTCCCACCAGACGCCATAGCTTCTCTGTGTCTGTCGCTTGCCTCCAATGTCTAATGTTACTGTTGCTGGCGTGGTGCAGATGTGGAGCATTCCTGCACCAATCAAGTTCTCCGTTCTCAGCGGCTGCGGTCTTCTGTGCCGGAACAACTCACAAGCCATCTGATGATAATCTGGTTTTCTCTGTGTGGCAAAGCATCCGTTTTTGGTGCCGTTAGCGGAAATTGTCGTCCTGGTTGACGCCACATGATGTAGAACGATTCAGTGCAGGGCATCTCCACCATGAGCCTCACCGTGCTCCCAAGCATCCTTTTTGGAACACCACTCGCTTGTAGACAAGGCGCTCCTCGGAATGTCTTGCTGTGATGGACTGGAGCTTCAAAGCCAGGCGTAGTCGCTCGGCAGCCTGGCGCACCTGTGGCGATACACGGACTCTGCATGATCGGTAAAAAGACTTGGCTCATTACCCTCTACCAGCACACCTCCAGCAAAGATCCGCTGGCCGTCGAGGGTTCGCCCTGCGACACATGCTGGTTCACCCGATAACACATCTCCTGGAACTCGGACAGCAAAGCCTTCTTTGCTGCGTTGGCCACGTCTTCCTTGTGTCGGGAATGAAAATTTTGCCACAGTCAGCAACAAGGACCACCACAAGTAGGGCGCACGGAGTCTGCGAGCTGTGCTTGCTTTCAAGGCGCAGCATGTAGCCTGCAGAATCGGCCCCTCAGTTTCTTGACGGCAACATGGCTTTGGCCAAGCGTAGATTGGAGCTCGTGCCTTGGCAATAGGTGCTTTGTCATGGCTCCGTCCAGTGTGGTATGAAGGACGACATCGACAACAGAATAGCTGCCTGTTCACCCTGCGCCGGAAGGCGGAAGGGACAACACACCACACGACATAAGAACGCAAAAGCGCAGAGAACTATAGACCGTAATACTCTTCGCCGGACCTACACCACGACGACCCGACGATCTCACGTGCAGGTGTCCAGACGAGTCCAAGGAAAGTTTCAAGTTCTCGGAACAGTGACCATGCGAGCATCTTTACACAAATCAATTCATCGTAATTCTGCCTGTGACATCTGTGGCAGCAAGATCACCGCATGCAGGCGGCAGTAGAAAGATAATGCTAGTAATTTATGGAATGAACGCCAAGCCGTCTGCAGAGACTCAAACAGGACACGGTGCAGAACGAATCCGACACCGTCCCAACAATTTTGAAGGGACAGTCCATTGAAAGTGCGGCTGGGTTCTGTTAGAACAAGATTTCACTCACCAATGAAATCACGGGGCTGGCGCATCAGGCATTGGAACTGCTCCAGAGATTCTTCAATGCCCCAAGCACGCTCGTGTTTTATGCTTCCTGAGCTGTTGCAAAAGCAAGCAATTTGTAAAATTGAGTCACAAACGTACGTTCTGAAGATAAGCCCAAGTCGCCTTGCATGGGGGGCAAGCAAAGCAGCAGCTGTCGGCATCTCTGCCAGGCCTGCTGCACTGATAAGTCCGTATGCTGCTGCAAGTATCTGCTGCTGACTTAGTGTGACTCGTGATACACTTTGGTCCACTGTATGTGTCGAGATCATGGGCGTGGCATGACCGTGTGTACTGCCCGTGCAGGTTACACACTGACTTATTTGGGTTGTGTAACACCAAACGATAAGAGCGTAACCCCCTAAAACGGACACCATAGGACAAAACAAATGTGGAACCAAAATGGCTGGCAACATCGTCTCTGGATTCTGGGATGTTGGCAGTCTGAAGCAAAGGTGCATCAGCAGATTTAATGTCTGATTTCGTTGAGGCTGCTGATCGTTTGCATGCCCATCCTGGCGACCCAAACTGAGGAAACTACAATGCCTGCACAAAGTTCTGTCTCCAGTCTATGACTTACACCTGGCACCAAAAACCCCAAAACCCTGAACTCCTAACATGTGGTTTTGAGTCGGCCGATTGAGGATTGTCCGAGTGTGAGCGCCGAAAGACTTTGAAAGCAGAAACTCTAAATCCAGAAACCGTGTACCCGGAACGCATGATCCCATAAACCCTAAATCCAGCAGCCCAAAAGCCCTGACGGCAGGGACCCAATACCCAGAAACCTAAAACGCCAAATCCAGAAACCAGAAACATGTAAAGCCCCTGAAACCAGAAACCCTAAACCCAGAAGCCTGCAACCCCAAACCCCAAACCCACAAGCCCGCAACCCAGAAACCCTCCCTAGCGTCCACTGAAAGCCCAACCACCCTCGAAGGGGACTGCACGAGCCCGGGGTCTGGCTACGCGAGCCGGGGTCTGGCAGCGCTTTTTGTTGAACAAACCGATGCCACACCCCCCGCACAGAACCATTAGTCCCGCCGCCTGAAAACCCTAAACCCCAAGGAGCCCGAAACCCTGCGCCCGAGAACCCTCAACCCTAAGCCCTGTACCTTGAAACCCTAGGCCTGCATGGAACCCGAAACCCACGAAAACTCTACACCCTGAGCCCTGGAACCCGAAACCCTAAGTCAGAGAACCCCAAACCTTACAACCCGAAGCCCTTGGGGCGTAGACCCCGAAACGCTACACCTGAGAACCCTTTTGTGCTTTGGTTTTGTGTGTTGCGCACGCAGCGGTGACTGGCATCCGAAAAACCAGAAAACATCGACCATTCAAATCTTTTCGTGCCAAACGAAAAATACGAACTTTCGATTTTTGGCTTATTGCGTTTCAACCAAACAAATGCGAAAAATCGACAAAACAACTGCTAAGTTGTCTTGCGTTTCCAAAAAAAAGCGACAACTCGAAAACTCTAATTTTCGAACCTTTGACTTTTAAGGTTTCGGAATATGTTTTGCCTTATTACGCATCAATTATTGGTGAACTTTCGACTGTTCGAGTTCTTAGCAGTCGTTGTAGTCGTAGTCGTTGTCGTAGGTGCATTCGCAGTGGCACTGGCACTGCAATCGTGCTAGTCGTCGTAGTAGTAGTAGTAGTAGTAGTAGTAGTAGTAGTAGTAGTAGTAGTAGTAGCCGCCACGGCTCAGACGTTTTGGAAGTTTCGCGCTGGCTTTCGAACAGGCTCAGGACTCCAACCCTTCGTTGCTAGAGGTCTCAAACAGGCCTCTCTCTGAACGACTAAGGGTTGGTGCCTCACGCTGAGCCATGTGCCATGTGCCAACTGTTTGCGTCTGAGCCGCCAGGTCCCAATTCCTGGACCCAGTACCCTGTCTCAACACGGGCCCACTGGGCAGGCGGTAGGGTTTCCACTAACCGCGTGGTGGAGGGAGTCACTCGGCTTGCCTTGTGACGAAATAGCGGATGGCGCTGCTCCCAGTGCACTCACAAAATTATTCTCAGATCAGGAAGAATTCGTTCAAGCATGTTTGCAGGAAGGTGGTTGCAAGCCAGCAACCCGTTTCTTACCGAGGTCAGGTCATGACCCCTGCTCTCCTCAGGCGCATGGGCAACTGCCCACCGCGGCCAGGTTCCACCCAGTCTTTTGCACCTCGGTCTAGAGCAGGACAGGCCACCAGGCCCCTCCGTGTACTGTCTTGGAATGCAGGCCACCTTGGCCAGCAGCAATGGTCGGAAGTCAAATCATGGCTTTCCACTGAGGCACGCCACACCTGTGATGTTCTTGTGCTGCAGGAGACCCACTGGCAGGCTACGGCTGAATTTAGTGTTTCAGGCTGGTACTGCATCTCGTCTGCCTCTGCTGCAGATCCGAAAGCCTCTAGACGTAAACAACGCGGGGGCAAGGCCCACATACAGCCACCTGCAGAGGCAATGCCTAATGACGACAAGACCCAACCGCCCCGCAAGGAACCCTCGACCACACGCGCGGACGGAGTAATGGTCTTTCTGTCCCCACACATACAACCTAAAGGTGTGAGATGGCAGGAACATGTCATAGGCAGAACCCTGGAGGTCAGGTTTGACTGGCACGGGGCCCGCATCCACCTGATTGCTGTATACCAACATGTTTGGTCACCGGCCAAGCAGGTGCAGAACAATCGTCAGGACAGGGCACAGGTCCTCAAAGCTCTTGGCAGATGTGTGCAAAGGGTGCCACACCGAGACACGCTTATCATCGCAGGTGATTTCAATAGCTCCTTGCAAAAGCAGCCTAGGCTGGTAGGTCCAGAGCTCATAAGCCCACAGGAACCGCGACCTGATGAACCAGAGCTCACCAACTTCCTGTTGAGTCACCGCTTGGTGGCCCTCAACACGTGGCGACCTCAGCCATCATTTACGTACCAACAGGGGGACACACGCACACAAATTGATTTTGTGCTTACGCGAGAGGTGTCAGCCGGAGGCACTGCCAAGGCCTCCACGCCACTGGCGGCTTTTCCGCTGGGCAGCTGGAAGAAAAGCGGGCACCTGCCCATTAGTGCGACTGTCAAGCCAGTACGTCACTGGAATTTGCCGCCTCCTCAGATACAGACACATCAGTTTGACGCTGCTGCCCTGCAAGCGGCTGTGAGGGACAACACGCTGCCAGCTCAGCAAATGCTGGAGTGGGTTACAACCCGTCTTACACCGGACATGCAGCCGGCGTCATGGGATCGCCTTCTTGGCGAAGCCTCCTCCAGGTTTTTCCCTAAGACCCCGGTGGCAATGCCAGAAAGTCCGGAGACGTGCATTGCCAGAAGAATGTGGCGCTCTGCACGAGGGAGCAATGCTCACACCAGTGCTGCATCAGCTACAGACGCAGCTGCCCGTCAACTGCTATACGACCAGCACAAACTGGCGGTCAAGCAGTCTCGCAAAGATCAAACCAAGCGGTTCCTTGCCGAGGTGGACCAGGCTCTCAATCAGGGAGACCAACACCTAGCATACCAAACTCTCAAGCATCTTCGCCCGTGGAAACCGGCTCTGAAGGCTCAGCTCAAGGATTCGAACGGTTTCCTACTCAGCCCTGCAAACGAACTTGCAGAGTTGGGCAAGTACGCCACCAAGGTCTTTGCAGCGCACCCTCCGCTTCCTTCTGACGCGGGACTTCTGCCCCTACTGCCGCAGACCAAGCTGGCGAAACACATAGCTTCGATAAAACCTGGGAAGGCAGTCCCGAAAGGAGCAGCACCAGCCGCAGCCTGGAAGCTCTGCGCACAGCCTGTATCCGAGGCGCTCTCGCATTACTGCTCTGCTCTGACACAGGACCAGCCACTAGACGATGATCTGACACGAGCGGATCTCTGCTTGATCCCCAAACCGGGCAAGCCGGCTGACAAGCCTTCCCAGCTAAGACCGCTGGGAATACTCAGGCCGGATGCTAAAGGCCTGGCGGGAACGGCTAAGGAACTCCTGGAACCTCTCACGCTGCCATACATGAAGCCTCTCCCTCAGTTTGCATACCTCCCGGGCCGGGGTCTCTCCGACGCTCAGAGTCGAGTGGTACAGCACCTGAGAGAGGCTCGGCAACTGTGTCGCACTGCGAACCTTACCAGAGCGGATCAGCAGCGGGGACAATGTCCTGTCGGTCTAGTAGGCGGCATTACCTTTGCACTAGACCTATCACAGGCATTCGACACTGTATCCCGCAGCGAAATCTTGTCTCTGCTTGATGAACTAGGCGCAGATCCCTCCCTACAAAAACTGATACATGGCCTGCATCATCGATCCAAGTACAGGCTCCATTCACAAGGGGCGCACCAGGATGTGGAAACCACCACCGGCATCAAACAAGGCTGCAAGCTGGCCCCTACATTGTTTTCCGTTCTGACAGGCCGTCTTCTGCACAGGCTGATAGACACATTTGGCTGGGACAATGTCCGCAGATACTTCACTGGGTATGCCGATGACTTTACCATGCATCGCACAATC